AAAAATGTTCATCGGTTCGCTGCGTATGCATCTATCAGCTATCCCAAACAAAACAACAATAGAAAATATAACAAACACCAAATTTCAACTACTTCACAATAAAATACAGAACTCAAGATGCAAATATATCGAGATTTCTTCAAAAATAATTTGTTAAGTACAAATTCATTCACATTTTTCACCGGAGAGAACCTTGTGCATCGATTTGGCGGCGGTTTCTGTTGGGTCGTGGTCTCTGGCGTGATCTTCTATGGCTTCTGACTAATGATCTCAATCTCTGCCCGATGATAATTTTTTTCTCAATGTACTTCAAAAACTTTTGTAAATTTTGGCAGAAATCGAGAGAAGAAATTCCTCTTTTTGTGTTAGATGGATTCCAGGTCGAGCGGAGTTAAGGAAAATGGCCCTTTTTTTAATGATATTGGCCCACTTTTGGCCACTACTGTAAATGGCCCTTTATTATTTGAAAAGAAAATGGGCCAGGGAGTTAATAGACAAAGTCCAAATATCAAATGTAACCTATATATTATATTTATTTATTTTTTTAAAAAGGGCGGGCCAGCCCGTGGCCCGCCCCGCCAGAGTCTGCGGCCCGCGCGGGCTGGCCCGTTTAGGCCCGCTCCCCAGCGGGCCTCTAAAAGCTTAGCCCAACCCACCCTTTTGGCGGGGCGGGGCGGGGCGGGACGGCCCGCGGGCTAAAGTCCGTTTTGACAAGTCTGGAAGAAAGTGTGGTTAAAGTACGAGCAACAATATATGTGCCATAGCAAAGTTGGTTATCTGGTTTACAACTTCATTTAGTGCATGATTTGATATAAGCTTTTATCCAAAAAAAAAACAAAATAAAATAAAAATCAATCACAACTCAAATCTATTTAAAATTTAACTCAAAATATTTATTCTCAATAATATCAGTATAATTAAATAGTATCAATCAAACATCAAACATTCTTATATTTTATGTCAATTTTAATTTATTATTCATTCACTTACATAAATTAACTAATCACTTCAAGCATCTCTCTCAAATCAATTTTAATTATTTTATTCTAAATATTATTTTAATAAAAATTCAAATCTATCTCAATCATTTTTTTTCAAAATTAACCTTGGTTAACCAATAAATTCAATATATTTTCTTTTTCAAAAAAAACTTGTATCCACTCAAGCCTTAGGCATGATTGGATATGAATCCAACCGGTTATGATCCAATGCGATTGGTTGAAATGAGTTACTTTGAATAAAGTTGGTGTTGATAATTTGAATTTGTAATTAAATTTAAAACGTAATGATTAAAATTGATGTGATTTAAAAGTATAATCGATATTATTGAAAATGATAGGTAGCTAAAATTATTTGAGTAGATGAATAGTGCATTAAAATTGGTGTGATGCAGGAAGATGATTGATTGATATTATTTAATTATATTTATAAAAAATATGAGAGTTGGATTTAATTGGATTTTAAGTGTGGTGATTGGAAACAAAATAACTTGATTGGTCAAAATTGATTAAAACCAGTTATGGTTCATATCTGATGAAGATCGTGAATCCGACAACTCGATTTATCTCGAACGGACGCGCAATAGGTCTTTTCCTTTGTTGGGGATAAGTTGCACAAACGACTTGCCTAGGTCTTCTTTTTCACAATTGTATGTTAAAACTTAAGTAAATCTCAACACACGAAAGGGTGATTGAAAGATCAATTTTTTTATTAAGTTATGAATTATCCAAATCGAAATAACAATGCGAGTATTTAAAGCCAAAACAAAACTAGTCCCAAGGGAATAAGAATCCAGGAACTAAAGAAAGTAAATAACTACTGGGATCCCAAGGATGCCGAATTTATTAAAGGCATAAACATCCTAGGAATAATAATAGTAAACAATGAGGGAAATAATAAGGAGACATCTAGAAGAAATCTGCCTATAGGCTTCTAGAAGCTCCTTCCATCTTGCGGTCCAAGTCATCCGCGTCATCACCTAGTTGGCGCGACATCTTCGGGTCGTGCACGTCGGCGTCATCGCCATCGCACGTATCTGCGCGCGCCCGATCTTCTCGCGAATTCGCAGTCTTCCTTGTCCCAGTGTCCTACGCTCCAGCGTCGACCTGCACTCTCTTGCGCTCAATGCCGCGTGCCTCGGCTAATGTAGCTGCTCTCTTGCGCGCCCAATACGCGCGACTATAGGCGATCTTAAGCAGCCTACCTCATTCGCATCAATATCCAAACGCGCCCTTAGTGTCATTGGGCATTCCCCATAAGTAGATATCGCGTGGTGAGGTGGTCTGTTTTTGTAGATTTTGTTTTTGAGCTTCGAGGTGACTAAAACGAGTAAATTTATTTTTCCATTTACAAATTTCTGTTTATTTGCACATTTATAATTTCTTTTTTTTTTTTAATTTGCTATTATATTAACTTATTTTTAATTTGTTGATTTTTGTGTATCTTTGTCATTTTGTGTTTTAGTTTATGAGAGTCGTTTATGAATAGTTTATTTATGATTTTATTTTGGGTGATGGTATGATAGCAAATTTTTTCAAAAATTGTAGCAAACATGTACTATATCTAAACGGGGCCTGCCCGTAGTAAAAAGTTCGGTTTAAAGTTGGAAAAATTAAATAGAAAACTATGCAGTTTAATATACATTTTTTTTTTTTTACTTTTCATATTCATACTTTTTTTAATATTTGTATTTTGCTTAATCATTAATTTTTAAATCTTCTTATTTTTTTATTAATATTTTTTTTATAATGAAGGTGATTACACTAAGTTATCCCAAACAATTTTTCTCATTGTCTACAAACTCGGACAAACTTGGAGACTTAGTGATTGTAGGAATATCTTGAGAACATTTTATAACATTATTCCATTAACCGTTGCAGACTCTAGTCTCCCCAAACTCACTCAAACGTGATTGTAAGAATATTTTGAGAACATTTGATAGTGCTTTAAGAATATTTTGAGAACATTTTATAACTATTTTCATGATTAATGGATTGAATTTGTATCCATGATATATCTATTTTTGTTAGTTATATAAATTTTATTTATTTTTTCTATAAAAAACATATTTTATAATGTTATAAAAAATGTTTTTAGATATATTTTTTTTAAATTATTAATAAAAAAATTATACTTTACAGTAATTCTAAACTCAAAAGATAATTTATTTAATTTATAAATTATTAATTTTCGATTAATATTGATAGACAATTTAACTTATATTATAAAGATGAATCAAAACTCCAATTCATGCATATATGCTATATAAATGTCAAATCAAAATTTATAAAAAATGATTAATTTGAATTATTATTTGTAAAAAAAATGATAAGAAACACAAAAAATATTAACTTTTAAAATATATTTACAATTTAATTAAGGTGCTTTATAATTTTAAAACTTTTAATAGACATTTATAAAAGTTTAGATCTATATACATATTACTCCAAAATAACCAAATAACATGAGATAACAAATTTGAAATACATAGATGACTGTTTAGAAGGAAATTGGATATGATGTTTATGGGCATTGTTATACCATACAAGAATACCTCACTTTTCAATGTGAACCAAAAACTTGGATGGGAAAAAAGAAAGCAAACAAGAAAA